AAACAAAATTGGCTAAAATTCGCTCTAGTGCGACCCGGCCCTAAATCCGGAATTAACCACAACCTTATTCTTCAAGTGCTTTCCCCTAAGAAAAGATTTACGATTTAAGAGAAGAATGACTCATACCCTCACGTTTATGGACTTATTCATTTTAATGATAACTTGAGATGTTTCTTGACATTTTGAATGTCTCAAAGTTATTTTTCCTAAAGTATCATTTTCGTTACTAATGGTGACAGTAACTTATCAATTCGCAACCTCACCAGAAAAGAAAAAAATCATAATTTTAATGTGTGATTTTCTCTCCCCACGTTTTTGTAGATTTGCTTTATCATTTTCGGGTTTGATAGTGATAGTAAGTTGTCGATTCACACTTATGTTACATTATCTCGTTAAAACGCAAAAAAATCGACAATTGCTTGCGACATTTTCTACCACACGACAATTATAGGTCTTCACTATGTTAGAGTAGTTGTCTAAGAAAATATGTTTTATTCTTTTTCTACTGTGTTTTGTAGTTAGTTGGTTTGTAGCAAATTTAAATCGATCTTTCAATTTTGAGGGATTAGTTTAGACATTGTTTGTCTTTTTCCCTTCGTCCTAGACTTTCAAGGTGCCAGCCTCGACTCCAGTTGGACCAGAGAGCTGGTTGGGAGATGATGACATCACAACGTTCACTGGCATTTCGTATCTCGGATCACTCAAGGTCAAAAAGTCGTACTTGTTGATCAACGAAAGTATCACATCTCTCCTGGAAAAGGCACATCCCAAAGAATTCAAAAACACTTTTGTTGAAGTACATGCCAATCAAATTCGAATAATAGATTCACGGGACAATAAAATAATACATCAACACGCCATTCCATGGATCTTACTGCTCGGTGTTTACGATCAAGACACAAGGCTCTTCGGCTACATTGTGTCGGATGCACGACAAGGGGAAAAGACCCGGATGATTTGCCATGCGTTCCGATGTAGTCGCATCACTACGTCAGTGGCTGTAACTGAAGCTATCCGGCTTGGTTGCCAGGCCACGTATTCCGAACGGAGGGACTCGGTTCGATCATCAAGGCGAATCTCGTTCATTTCAGATAGTTCTAGTGGTGGATCTTTGGAAACCATGTCTTCGCCGCCGAATGAACATCTTGATTCCACGGTATGTTTATGAGCAAATCCTACCTAAGTAATTTTTGATTTAGAGTCGAAAGCAACTTTGGAATTTCAAAAGTTTTTGCTTTTCTGCATTGTGTGATTATTAAAATAATTCTGGCCATCCTCTAAGCCAATCAGAACGTTTAAGCCAATTTTCTCGCTCTTAGGGAAGTTTGCTTTTGTTGTCATTATGTGGTTTAGGATTTGTGACATTCATTTGGGAAGTTTTTGATATGTAATAAAAAACAGTTGCCTTCGCAGCTTTGTTAACTAGTCGTCTGATATGAAATCCAGTTCTCAAACCACATCTGCCTAAAGAAAGTGTGCACAAGAAGAAAATCTCTATTTCCTCTGAACCATCATTTTAGCATTGTTTCTGACTAAGACGTATTTGATTTCATGTATATGACCACGCCTGCATCTAAATACTCATCAAGAAACGCCGATTCAGTTATGCTTTGAGAACCCGGTTAACTTTCTGTGCTTGTGAAGTCCCATTGTTACTAATATTGAATTTTGTGATTTATCTTGGTTCCTTAACTCATAATTCATTTTTTTTTTCTGCAGGTTGAAAAACCGAAAAGCAAACAGCAGAGTTCAAAACAAGAAAACCCCAAAGCAAAGGAGAAGGATTTCATAAAAAGCAGCCTGAAGCCGAAACGCTTTGCCTCCATGCCAAATTTAATAAGTCGTAAGTCTTCTAAAAAAGACAAAAATCTCAAAATGGAAAGCCACACCGACAAGAATTCTGGGAGAACTACCTCGATCAGTTCTGCGGAAGGGGATGACGTCATCGAAGGTTCATGGGAGGTAGTGGAGGAGGAAAAGGTTTACAATTTTGATGTAACATATCTCTGTTCCACTGTTGTCAATCCACCTCTCCGACCAAAACACTTGCGTGAATGTGTCAAACAATACCAGAAACAGCAGGCTAAGTTCCTGAAAAAATTCGGACACGAACAGCCTTCGAATGAGGTTGCTTTATTGGTGTGTATAGATGGAGTTGAAATGAAGGACTCACAGAAAGGAGGCCAAGGGATGTTTTTCCCCCTAAGTTCAGTTAGCAATGTAATGGCTCATCCAGAGACACCTGAATACTTTGCTTTCGCGACTGTGGTTACTGGAGATTCAAAACATAAGTGCCACTTGTTTCAGCAAACGAAAGTTCCCTCTTCTGAGTTGATTCAGAGTTTCCAAGCATTTATGTAGAGGAAAGTCCTAACAAACACTGCATCACAAAAGCACGAATTTGTTGTAGAGTGGTTGCTGAGTAACTGTGGTAAAACTAAGACCAAGTTCTGACTAATCAAAGCGAAAGCTTATCAGTGTCAATCACCCTATCAAAAAATAATGAAAATGTGCGTCCGGCGCCAAGCGCGGGAAAAATGCCATTTGCGTCATTGCTGGTTTTGATCTTAATTGCCAATGGTTAAAATTTGCTAGGTTTGTGCTGATTGATTATACCAAATGACATTGTATTACTTGATTATCGCTGGGGATTAACGAATAGAGCGAAACTTACCAAAACAAAGAATGTCAATTAATTTTCATTCTGCGAAAAGCTCACTACATCCGTGTACCAATCCACGAAACCAGCCGGTTGTTTTGAAGCAGGAATTGACCAAGGATCTAAAACAAATTCACCCAAGAAACGGGTTTCAAATGGCCATTTGTTCGGGAATACATGTCATGTTCGATTTTAACCTTCGTTATTAATCATCAACTTATCTGACCTACCGAGTATTTGTAGAATTGTAAGGTTCCATTTTTTTTACTAATCACAGAAAATGACGCGTGAGACAAATTTGAAGCAAATTAGGAGACAGAGCTTCTTGCCAAAGAGAATTACTTATACAGAAGTATTTTTATGCCTATCGTTTTATAAAGTAAATTTAGATTTCCGGGTAATTTATTAGTCTTCAATGTCAGTGAAATGTTTCCATCGGAAGGTACTATTTTGCATGGTAGCAAACAAAAGAGTCTTGCTAGAGGTCTTCGAATAGAAGAGATCACATTTATATATTATACATATGTAAAAAAATACTATTTCTTGTCTCGAGAACGACATGATTCTTAGCTTAGTCATGGATATTGTGACAACGAAAACGTTTGTGAGATTTTTTTACCAGTCCATTAAAAATGAACACAAGTTTTATGGAGGAAGTTAGTTTTACTTTGTATTGCGTAACTCAGTGGTTGCTTTGTTGGAATTCAGCAGTGTAGCGAGAAAGTCTGAGGGTAAAGAGAAGCAAATTGCTCCGCCGGGAGCTCTGCTTCTTGTTTATGTGGCTCCGTAACCATATTACCAATGAATCCCTATCAGGATCGCATTTCACATCCAAAATTCGTTCCCTTAGGCCTGTTTTCATTAGGGTCTCAAGAATAACGGTCATAAATGATCACCAACTAAAGGAGCTCATAATTTTTATGAAATTCTCTTAGTCAGCATCTCAGGAAACTTGTAAAGAAAAGCATGGAGAATGTGCACACTGGTGTAAGGTTGTAAAGGGTTAAGAGTTGGAAATTACGATTAAGTGGTGTTGCCTTAGAGCACTGATTAATGACACTGCTTGGTGGCTAAACCGAAGTCTTATCAAATCCCAGCTTTTGTGCTAGACCGGATTGGGGTACAGAATGATAGCTTAATTCATAGATACGGACTTTCTCATGCAACATTACAGGTCGGTGTTCAATTCCGAAAGGGGTACGCAGCTATTAATTATTATTGGTGCTCAGTCAGTGGTCGGACCACTAAGCAATCTAACGTTCAAATCATTCAATTAAGTTTCCGAATAATTATTACTTCTAAGAACGATTACAAATCACATTCAGCCCATATTTCGTAATGCACCTCTCGTCAGCCCATATGTACAGGTGAAGCCTGATGAACGAATTAAGATGGTTATGAACCAACGATCTAGCACAACTACAAAAGGAAAATAGTGTGGGGTGGCGTAGTATCGAAATTAGTTTATTATAAAAATATTTCTAAACTGCTGTGTTCATCAGGAGAGGTGCGACTATCGAATAGGTGCTATATGGTGGGTGAACAGATGAACTAGGGGTTGTACTGGTTCATGACCATTACAATTTCCTCAAATGTGATTGGTACATTAGCTGCTTTATTTTTCACCAATCATTCTGTACAGCTGTGATCGGACAGTGTAATTGGACAGTTGGCTGTAATCGGACAGTTAAGTAGTCCACTCAGCCAAATCCACCAATTACAGAATTAATCACAATAACCATAGTAATAACCACTAATCCTGATAAAAAAAAGAACTGAGGAATTTCCAAAATGGGGACATTTTTTTTACTTTAGACACTGTTTCTACCGGAGATATTGATCTATAATATGTATTTGTTGTTTTCGGAAATTGTAACGGTTATGATTCATTGGTAACAGGACTTCTTGTCATCCAATTTTGTCTGTAATCATCACTCGTGATTGACAAATTGGACTCCCGCTTCGCGGTCGTTTGATTTTGTTAATCACTCGTATGATTACAGACCGAATTGGACTTCAGTCGATCCTATTACCATTACACATTGCCTGTGTACAGGCTCTAATTGGAGCTGCGGTACAAGCGACTAAGCCAGTAAGATTCGACACGGTGAGCGAGGCGATCGTGCGAAAAGCCTGGGAAGGGTCTGGTACGAAAAATTACCTTTCTACAACCAGCGTGTATCGCGGTGACGCTCGCATCTCTCGCTGACGCAATTTAACACGCGGGCATCGCTGCTTTTGTGACGAGGCCGGTGAGAGCTAATGCACTGAACAACGCTTTAATACCTTCTTAGGCGAACTACGTAATACTCCCTTTAAAAAAGTTGACGGAAACCTGAAGTCTTCTCTATTTCTTTAATAAATGATTAGTCGTTCTGTTTATCGAGACGGAATGGACAACTTTACCACAGAGGGCTCTTCCAATCAAAGGGGCTTGAACATGATTTGGAATACATTTTACTTCAGAGACTTGGCGACTTTTGTACAATAAAATTCGATTGATTCATGACAATCTCACATCTAGAGAAGTGCGAATTTGATTATTTGCGAGTTACAAAACAATTTGTGCGGAAAGGGAATTCAACGACGACATTTTCTAACGCATATAAAACAAGATCTGTAAAAAAAGGCTCGCCACTAGAGTTCAAATCCGTAAAGCGTTACAAATCTTATAGAATAGAGATCTCTAAGCAAGTATCAAAAGGACCCAGTAGCAATGATACTATTAAAAATGAACGTTGTGCCATAGTTAGTAATAATAAATTTCAAGGATGAAATGACGCCTCCTAACAATTATCACGTACATAAATCGAGGGCGAATAATCGAATTGTTTTAGTACAAATCTACTGGACGTTCAAACTTGACAACAAGACAGGTTCATGTTTTTCATCCACTTTCATGTTCATCACTGCATACTGTTTGACCTGTCATTTTACGCACTGTACATCACGGAATAGATAGTGAGAAGCATAGCCAATCATCTTTCAGCATTTGTAACAGAGCGCCAGTAGATTTATACAAAAATCAAATATTCTTGCTTTTATTTTATTTTTCCGTCCAAAAATGTTCCTATTAGACGGTTTTCTCTGATTCAAAAGGCAATTTTTTGTGTCCATTCTATGAAAATTGGTTAGATAGCTTCCTAAAGTTGATTCCAAGGGTAAGTTAGTGGAGAATGAAGTTTTTGTATCCCCATATGCTGATGCTCTTAGGCGTAAGTTTAACGCCAAATTAGAAATATTTTGTTGTCGCTAAAAAATAGCGAGAATATCACTTTACAGGAGTGTCTGATAAGGACTCCAGCCTGATGGACTTGATGAAAAAGCCAAGACATACCCTCGGACTTAACCTAGTAGAACTAAGAAACATCTCTTCATTTCGTACCCCTCGCGTTGTATCAAGTTTCTATAAACAATAAAAATAATAGTGCCAATCTTTTCTTTTCTATTGACGTGAAATAAATTTTTCCTCGAAAACGGTGACCTTATCGTTTTAACAACGAACGCCCCTTTGATCAGAAAGAAAAAAAAAAGGTCTAATGAACGTAGAGCGTTTTACTCATATTCGCCAGCGATCTATTTATTTGACCATATTAACACAATTCCCTAAAAAGAGATGGAAAAATCTAAAACAAAAATCACAGGTATCGCCAATACGGAAAAATATTCACAAGTACAGCTCTATCCTGAAAAAGTAGGCGAGCTTTGTCGTCCCGCCGAGGTAAATATCATGGAAAACCTCGAAAACGAAAAAGAATTTCTAACTCCAAGCAATCTCTCGAAATTTGTTCACTGTTCGCATATTTTTACACAGTACAGGGACGGTTTAAAAAAAAATATGTTTGAACAGCCAAATTTCCAATCAGAACAAAATAAATTGTTTTTCTATTTTGCTCTCGAATATTTTACTTTTCTCGTCTTCTTCATTTTCGAAGCTCAAAAAAAAGTAACATTTTACTCAATAGATATTCATAGTTTTGTACCTGAAGCATGCAACAATCAAGTCCTATTTTCGGTGGAAATTTCATAGCGTGAAATTTTTTTAGGGTGGGGTGGTGGGGGGGGAAGACGATAAAGTTCTACGGAGTAAAACGCGAAAATCTGATTTACGTGGACATGCCGAACACATCACGATTAAGTAGGACGTAATGCAACATTAGAGGGAGTTTCTGTTACCTACAATAAAACTACGTTTTACACATTATCTCTGGCCAAACTCCTTAAAGAGTTCTTCAGAAGTTGGCACCCTGATCACCGTTTCCGACTTCAGTAGGGGCTGGGTCGTGTCATGTGACTCCCCCTCCATATGCATGTCCAATAGCGTCAACTTGTCTTGTTCGCTCGTCGGACTTTGATCCGAAGACGAAGGTGATGGACTTAGACTGTCCTGCCACGGCCTGGGGCGAGGCCTAGCGGCGCCCACAGCCTCCCCAGTTGGGAAACAAAACTTCGCGTTAGGGGTAAAGTCCGTGGAGTTGCAATCCAGGCGAGGTGAACTTGCTCCCCTGGGAGAGAAGGGAGGGGGAGGAATTTTAAAAATGTCTTGCAGCTCCTGTGAATATCGTTTGCAGTTCACCACTGTATTGGTCGAAGAGTCATCCGCAAAACTGGAAATACTATCATTCGAAATGTTAATTCTGTTGAGTTCACTCGAATCCATCGACTTGGACCTTCGGTCTCGTCTTTCCGTCGCTAAGTCGATAAGTTCTTTGTCGCCCTGTTCGGGACACACCGTGACTGAGAACGAAGTTGAAGAAGACCGACCTCGGAGAGAGTTCGGCTCTGTGTAAGTTAAGGGAGGTTGACTATCGCTAAAAAAAGTCGCCTTTAGTAGAACAGGAGTGGACAGAGGCCTTTTGTTTTGACCTCGCATCATGTCGACTGGTGCAGTGAACTCCACATTCTGTGGACTAGAAACGGGCGTGCTCGAGTTTGAATTAACCGAGGTGTCTTCGGTCGAGGTTGAACCAAACCACGATCGACGATTGGAATTTCCGACTTCGTGCCGTCGCCGGGAATTCGGTGACTTGTGCTTGTCCGATTTCGAATTTAATCTTAGCAATTCGGGACGAAGATCTTTCGCACCCTGTCTTAAATCAGTTCCTAAAGCTACTGCGGACGCCATTATACCAACACAGCAAACAGCTACCTCGCAACGATGCTTAGATTTGGTTTTCTGTGAAGATTTGAGAGTGGACATAGGGCTGTTATCTGCTGTTACGTACTTACCGTTGACACCTGTCTCATAAAAAGAAAGAAAACATAGTTAAGTTGGAGAACTTACGACAAGATCGTTTAAGTCACTAGCTTTGGCATCTCTTTATGTCAAATCAAAAGAAAATCGTGTATGCTCATCATGTGTGTCAAAAGTTCTCTTAAGCGTAACGATGACTGAATCGTCACGCAATCTGTATTTCAATTTCAATACGCAACAACGTGAAATAAAGCAAGAGAAAGAATTAGAACAATGTTTGCGCAAGCGCCAAAGAACTGAGCATATACTGCCTCAATTTCAGCCTTAAAGAAAATAACGTGCGAACTAAATTTTTTCTCGAAAATATCTTAAAATTGGAAAAAAGTGAGCGATTTCAAAAGTGAATTCCATCTCAAGTGAGAAAAGGACTCTTGGAACGAACACGACACGTTGTATGAAAAAAAAACAGAATTTTTTGGAAAATTCAAAACAAAATTGTCGATTTTCGTCATCAGATAGAAAACGAAACGTGGCAAAATCAAGGGAAGTTGTTATTCACAAGGCAAAAATAGTGGTATCGTACGCAACATAGTTGAACTTCCTTACCAATATTTTGGTTTATCACTGATCCTAAGTTAGGAACTGAGTTACACCTTTCTGTCATAAAGCTATCCCTGGCTTTTACACGCCTGCTCTTGTCTCGGTCTCGCTGATGTACTGAGCTGGGTCCCCACGTGCGGATCTTTTTGTTTTTGTCCGGGGGACTGACGGGGACCTCGCCAGGATCATCAACTGAACAATAACGAATAATAACATTTAAGTTGTGTGCAATACATTGTTCATGTAGCTATACACTACTTGTAATCACCGAGTTTTTCATTAAATACAATGAAAAAATAACAAAATGCCAACAAACACAAAGCGAAACAAAAAAAGTAAACAACTCGAAAACAAAGTTGTCTTACAGGACAGCAGTCTGAATCTCTGATGTACTGCAGGGGATGGTGGCCCTGTGGTGTTGATGCCTTCTGTTAATGCTGGGTTTGAGTCAAAGATATCAGACGTGATGGTAAACCTATGCTGGAACCCTTAAAAGGAAAAGAAACACAATTCTTAGCTCTTTCTTTTCGGGGATTGCTTTCAGATCAGGAACCCAAAACTACTATTGTTCAGAACTACATGTAACGTTGAAAATGGCAACAAAAAAGTCTTGCCAATAAACCGCACACACGTACCATGTTGAAAAATAGAATTATTCCTGGTTACAAGTGCTTCTTATACTTAATTTCCATGGAAAGCAAGTGACTTTCTTGCACTAGATATTGTGACTCTATAGACACTGTTCAGGTAGTGAGCTGTAAAAAAAATAAGGTAAAACATTTTCAAACCTGTTGGTGCACTAATTTTTCTTCCACTTCCAAACCTCAGTTTAAAGAAGTGACCTTTCCTCTTCTTTGGAGATGGTTTGAGTTGCTTCTGTTGCTGTATATTAATCACAACAAGAAGAAATAAGTTTATCATTGCTAAATTGATGACTACATACTGGATGACACAAACTTAAAGCAAGTACCAGTAAGTAGTGAGTCATTTTACAAATAACCATGTGTTTTAATGTTAATAAGAGGTGACAGAAGAATTGCTTTTTTAAGGTTAGATCATTCACTCACCTGTATTAGCATGTTAATCTCTTTTCCAAGAAGCATCATCTCTCTTTGCGCAAGTTCTTCTTCTCTCTTTTTCAAACTCTCAGCATGTACCTCTTGTGCCATCTGTATTTGCCGCAGTTCATCCTCTCTGGAGGAAAGTTCCTGTAAGAAGAAAGTTATACTTTTGAATAACTGACTTTGCAGCGTTAAACTGCACCACAGAATTAAGGCTGATTTTCATTATGTATGGATATCAACATAAGGCACACCATCATACCTTTTCTTTCTTCCTTAATTCATCAAATATCTGATCAATCTCTGTCTGCCAGCCATCCTGTAGTGTGCGGAATGAGTCAGGATCATCTTGCACAAAGGAAGAATCTGAAATTTCTTCCAGATCTTCTAGAATTCCCTGAAATGAAGGTCGTTTATGGGGATCTTGATTCCAGCATTCTAAACAAAAGAAAATTACATTTAGCCTTGATTCCTTAGTTCTCTATATGAATTTTCCAGTAAGGGTAAGAAAAAGATTACAGAAGACAAACTAACCTTTTCAAACTCAAGATCTCACTACTAATTCTCTTTACTATCTACCATACAATTCTTACAATGCTATAGTTTTGCAAATTTGGTATTGGATCAATTAAGAATTCCCTTATTGATATTTTTCTTTATTCTTATCACTTGTTTGCTTGATACTGATTTGATATTGTAAAGTTAAATTCTGTCTTAGTCACTCCAAGGAATTAAAGGGCTAAGATAGCCACTAAAGCAGCAAATTTCCAAAGGAACGAGTGACTTCGAAGAAGCTACTCCTCCTGGATGGGATAGAAGTCCATTCCAGGTTGAAATTTTCCAGTAATATGATCCATCCTAGTTGGAGAGAGGTGCTAAGAGGGCAACCTATCTTGGCCAAGTACACCAAAAAAATTAACCCACCCAATGCACTAACCACTCAGCCATTACATGTAACATGTATGTCTCTTGCATTTTTCTGGCACAAGTTGCTGAAAACCCTCAATCATAATTCTGCATTACAGTCAGTTTTCTCTCAAATGACACCTAACCATGGATACTTGTAGTCTACTCCTGCCATTTGATGGCAAATGCCTCTCTCAGACAGATCCCTTGGGCTGGTCATTCATGTAAAGGTGTATGTTCTAGGCAGTTGGCTGAAAACAGTAACTATTATGTACATGTATACCAGTCTAACCTTTCATTAATTCTTTCAAAACATCAGGACAAGTGCTGGGTATTGGTAAAGTTAAACTGTTCATTGCAACACCATAAGCAACAGCAAGTGCTTCCACGTCTCTGTAGGGAACTTGTCCTGTCAGAAGCTCCCACAAAACTACACCAAAACTGAACCATTAAAGGATATAAATTAGTTCCATACACCTTAATGAGACAGTCAAGGGAGGGGAGGGGGGGGGGGGGAAGAACAAACTGCACCAATAAGGTACATGTATCTTAAATATGGTCATCACCAAAATTTCCCTGCTTCACAATTCCAAATTACAACCATTTTGTCAATAAAATTTGCTGCTTAATTCCTAAATTAGTCACCAGAAATGCCCCTTTTTTCTAAGAGCTAAAAACAGAGTTAACCTTAACCCTTTAACTCCCTAGATCTCATTAGTAATTCTCAAATGATTCTCATTAAGTTACTTTGGATAATTTGGAATTGAATCAATTAGTAATCTCATAACTGATATTTTTCTTTATTCTCATCACTTTTCTGCTTGATATTGTATTGATATTCTGAGGAGAAATTCTGTCCTTTACACCCTGACATCAGTATGCATATTCTCCATACAGCTCTCTATACATTTCCTAAGGTGCTCACAAGGAGAATTTGTTTAACAATCAAGAGCTTCTCTAGTTGGTGATCATTTCCTTTATTCTCGTGACTTAAACCTTTTATTCAGGGATGATATTGTAAGGAGAAATTAGAACCTTGTCACTCTTAATGATTAAAGGGTTAAATAAAAATTACATGAAATATTATTCATGCTCTATTGTTTTATTTTTTAAAAAATTTGCCTACTTCTCCTTAATTGCCTGAGTACTGAGCCTTGTAGTGTTGCATGAACCTAGTAAGGAATTGCCAGTTGCCTTTTCATTCCCTGGCAAGAGAACTTATTTTTCTGATTCTTATTGACAATTTCACTCAATATTGAGATTGGAGATATGTTCCTACAGCACAATCCACAAGCTCAGTGTACAGTTATCAGTAAAAAATTTTAAATGGAAGATTGAGTCAAACAGAGAGACTTTACCTTTCACTGTGAGATAAATATTGAAACCCTGAAAAATTTGTTTAAAATTTTGCAAGGTACATTTCCACATGTGTTTGTTCAATTTAAAAATCACAATTAAATACTACTCAGTGGAATTTAAACCCACCTCCAAACATCACTTGCTTTCGAGAAAGTGTTGGTTCTAATCACCTCTGGAGCCATCCATGCATAAGTTCCTGCAGCACTCATTCGTGTTGTGTTCATTATCTCTCGAGCCAACCCAAAGTCAGTTATTTTCAGTACATTCTCAAAATTTCCATCCTCAATTTTATTTAAGAGTAAAACTGGAAAAAAAAGGATAAAAAATTTAACAAATAAAATGAGTGGGAGTTATACATTTAAGGTAAGTTCAATTGTATTTAACCAAACTTTGTTAACTGCCAATTTTTTTAAACAAACACTAAACAACGTCAGCATACAGCAAGCACATTCATACTATCAAATCTGTAATCTAATAATACACAACCAAAGTGTGATTTTATTTCTGGCAAACCTTGAGAAACTCATTCTGAGGAGCAAAACTGGTAGAAAATGGAACTCTTCATAACAAACTTAAGCAAGGTCAAGGTCTGATTGACACAAGACAGGTTCTGCACTATGTAGGACCCACATAACAGTAATATGGTATCTAATTCAACCCTAACAAAGCTTGAAAAGTTTTCATGGCATAAATATTAGATTTTGTTTCATTTGCCAATGCTTTCACTTCTTCACCATCTTCAAAACTGAAATTTACTAGAAAAAGATGTCCATTGAAAACTGATTTATTTGTATCAAATCACCGGAAATATTTATGATGTTATTAGATGGAATTATAGGTTCGAAAGAAACCTTACTGGGTTTTGATCTCAAAGTTTACGCATGGGTAAAATTACAGTAAATGGTGACACTGATAACGATGCTTAATTAAATGGAGAAAGGAGTTTCATCTCAGATGATAAGAATGTTATTTATGTACAACTAATAGGTGCAAAATAAATGTAGCACAATCAGAATTATTTTAATTGTTTTTTTCATAAACCAGAGCACACACAAAAATGCTATGTCATTTTAAAATTCACTGTTATTGTTGAATAACCTTGCAACAAAATGAATGTGGAATACACAACAGGAAAATGGAATAAAGGTAAATGTCGTTTTTGATGCAAACAATTTCTTACAAATGCAATACTGATGAATGTTATTCTTTGTGTCATAAATTCTTGTCTTGATTCATTTATGTACAAATAACTTTTTCATTTTGTAGAAATTCAGTAACGGCTCTTTCACAAGAAAAATGAGGTTACACTATAAAAAATGAGAAGGTATCCGACTATGCGGTGACGAAGTTTTTAACACGCAAATCGAACGATTAATCAAAGGCTATTTGAAGAGTAACAAACGACAGCACTGTATTTAAATGTTGTGGTACTTCAATTTACATAGATGCAAAGATAGGGACGAGACTAAAATGATTTCCTACAAGCGGCTATCTGATAAAGGCATGTCGATCTCAAAATTAGTAAAATTCTATTACAATCGAAGACAGATGAAATATAAAAACCAGTTTGCGTGCAAATTAAATACTGAGGGTCTTTTTGAGACTTGACTGAAATTTCTTCAACAAGCAAGACGATTTTCGTCTTAATCTCCGATGAGAAGGTAAAAATTTTTTCACTTCCTGTCTGGGAAAGCCCAACACACACTCAGTTCCCTCGTATAAATTACCTTTTTATGCTGCGGGAAAATATATCTCACTGGAACTAAAAACAATATCACCTAATCATGTCCAGTATTGTTTTAAATTTTTGTTTCGAACGTGAAAAACAAAAGCTTAGAACTGAAATATTCGCAACAAAAGCCACTCAAGAAGGCAATGGTATGAATTACTGACTGCGGAAAGAAAATAAAACACCGTTTGGCCGCTTTTCTAGATTTTCCTTAATATCATGAACTTCGTGCAAAACAATTTTCCAAAGTTTCTCACTGTCTTCATCATTAAAACGTAATGAGCATGAAAAATTCACAATAACAACTGACAATGTTCAAACGAAGGAAAACAATGGTGATGTATTACAAGCTGGCGGCAGAATTAGGGGTCAATGCGTGGAACACCTCCGTTTTCTCGCTTCAAATAGGAAAAGGAACACGAAATGTAATTACTCACTGTTTCCAGACTTGAGATCCCTGTGAATGATACTCAGCGGAGCTTCATTATGAAGGTAATACATACCACGAGCTATCTGCAAGGCCCAGTCTAGCAAAACATTCGGAGGAATAGTTCTACCGTGAGTGTTTAAAACGCGAGAGAGAGCACCACCTCGGGCATATTCTAGAACCAGACAAAAGTTCGGTTCTTTCAAACAAACACCGTATAAACCAACAATATTACGATGCCGAAAAATGGAAAATAACTTGGCTTCTTTGGTGACGGCGTCCACAATCTCGCTGTAGTCCTGGTAGGTCTCAGTGCGAGCGACTTTTACAGCAACTTCCTCCTCTCTCCATCGAGCACAATAAACTTTTCCAAATGCACCGACGCCGATCACATCTACCAGGTCGAGCTCGTTGAAATCGATTTCGAGAGGTTCGGTCAAACTGGTCCTTTTCGTATCAGTCGTAATGTAGTTGGAAGGAAACAAGCCGATTCGTGATTGCCCCTCAACACGACCGACCCACCATCCGTCGTCTCCGCTTACTTCGGGATCTCGAGATAAAATCTCAATGCGATCGCTCACTTTGAAGGTTAGTTCATCGTCGTCTACTGCATCGTAGTCGTATAACGTTGTGCAAAACTCCCCTGTCATAAGCTTCGTCAACGGAGAATTTCTCCCCGTGAATGTATCCATTCCTTCGCTTTGAACTAAAGCACTAGGCATTTGCATCGGCTCTGAGCACGCTCTACATAGATATTACTCCGTGTGGCCTTTTCCTTTAGCTTGCGGACAATATCAAGAGTTTGGAGACCGCGATCGTTCGAAAATCGCCGCTCTCGTCCGCATAAACAATCAGCTCCAATTCTGAAACCCTGAAATGGCTGGTCAAAATGGAGGCAGTTCCGCAGCGGGCGCGGTTGCAATATCTTATCACGTGACAGATGTCGAGTGTATATGATTGGTACAAAGGTTGGCAGAGAACTTTCCGTGTCCAAGAAAGTTGACATTGTACAAGTTACCGTGACAACATTTTTTTAAATTTTTGGACTTCCTTACGTTTTGGAATTATAAGTTTAGAAGGGGTCTCTAAAAATTCACAAGCATATCATTTTCAAAAATCGTTATCATAATAGCTTTTTCGACAGCTGAAATGTTGTTGCAATTCTGCCGAGGCGAAATCATGTAAATTACTTTCCAGCAATCCTAAAATAGAAAACATGTAAACAAAGAAGTAAACAGTTTGATCACGCCTTTTAAATGATTTTAAGCAAAAGGGTATCACAGTATTCCTTTCAACCGATTTTAAAAAAAAGTCTCGAAGTCGAGGTAACCTTGCGTACAGTTGTTTGCTTGCCGGGGAATCCCCCAGAAGAATCTGACTTCATACCAACTGCCTTTCCAACCAAGTCATCGCTATAATTAGACATGACTCAACAGTTTGATTTGAGATTCGAGTATAAAAATCTGGGTTCATTGTAAACCGTGATTTCAATTTTGTTGAGTATTTGTTCCCAAAAACCAAGGTCTTCGTTATCAATCCAAAAAAATATATATACATCACCGTTCAAGTATTTATTCGGAACACCTTTTAGAGCTGCACGCTTTACATACGTTTAAATATCCCGCAAAAGCAAAGCAAACTATTTAAAAATTCCAAAATTCTGCATGTGATATGGGCCAGTAATAAATTTTGAAGCCTCACACCATAAAAATAACAAATGTACGTGACAGGCGTATTTACGTCAAATATGCTATTTCGGATCTCTTGCATATTTCGCGAGAGATTTGACAGCTGTGATCATTAAATATCCTTCCATAATTTCATAATAAGGTCAGGTCTGATAAAGATAGTAAGCAATTCCGGTTCATTTTACCAGTTAGGATCACGTATACACAGCTCTTCCGGCCTGTTATTTCTGGCTTGTTTACCTTTTTTGTGTACTTTAAAATTCTTATTTTGCATGAAATTCTCTCTCTTTTTTAACAAAATGATGACAAAATTATTTTGCCTCCTATTTATGTTTATAAACATTTTGAGCTGATGAGTACTTTTTTTGTTGGTTTTTACATGACATTTATTTTTCCAAGTTTTCTTCCGAAATCCCTGTCAGCAATTTTTCCTCTCAGAAGAATCCCTTCATATTCCCTAAAAGCGCCATTCAATGTTAGGTTACCTTATGAGAAGTCTTGTGATCTATCTCAGCATCAACTATCAGCTCACTCTCCTTTTCCGTCTTAAGATGCTTCTTACACTCGAATAAGCCAGGCATGAGTTTTTTCGTATAAAGTAAAAAAATATTTAGAACACTTCCGCTAGTTTAGTAGACGAGTCCTAGAAAATCTGTTCACTTTGGATATGAAAAAAAAAAGATGATATACTTGGCAACTGAAGATTCATCTGATTTTTCAAATCATTACAATCCACAAAGGATATCAAACGTGTTTAGTTTTCCTGATTGCGTAACATAAGTCGAAGGAAACGAAAAAATGTGAGGGAGGACATGTAAACTTGATATGGATCCCACTTAATCATCGTACACTTCTGCATGCGGCGGAAAAATGCTGTTGAAGTTGACATTTGTGATCGAACATTGCAGTTCTACCTTCCTTTTAGTCTTGCGAAATACAACTGTAGAGGAAATGAGTTCGTGAGGGAGGGCATTTTCATCCGATATCCTTGTGTCAACTTCCTACGAGCGTCAGGAAAGGCGTTTTGAAATTTAAAAATGGTAAAAATTATAAAAATTTGTTTGAGAAACATAAACTTCGTTTGGAGTGTGCTGTAGGAAAGAAAGATGCCATTTTACGCCAGCGCGTTTATTTGCGAACAGAAAGTTTGAACTGAGTTGTTGTCTGATTTTATTAATACGAAATCTTGTTTTTGGACAGTCTAAATGAAGCTCGTCTTTTCCCCAGAGCATGAGAAAATTGCCGATGGTTATAATTTCCGATTCCACTCTACTCCTAAAACCTAGCTTGTGAGCGTTTCTCACTAATTGCTTGGTTTATTTTCACAAAACACCAGTATGGCCGTATGTATAAAAAGAAAATACTTTTTAATGAGGTCAGAGACGATCCAAGAAGCGTAGGTTTCACTGATAACAATGAATGATACTTAGGGAGCTTACGTAAGCTATAGCTATTTTACAGCGGAAAACCATGTCACAAGTAATTTAGTGTTAACATCTTGAGTTAAAAACGTAAATTGGCCACCATAAAGAGCTTCAAAGTTGACGTTTAATCGCTCTAACGAAGGGCTAACGCTCGAAACGTCAGCCTTTCAACTCTTTACGGTGGCCAATTTACGTTTTCACTCAGTCGCTTACACTAAATTACTCTGTTTTACTCTCCTACCTATGCAGTACCAGTTTCTTTAGAAACGTACCCCCTTTATTCCTGTCACAAGTAAGCGTGCTAATTGTTTGATAAGAGTAAATTAGTTGTGGGCATGATAAAATTGAAATTCTAACGCATTGGGGTCATGCGTGGGTAGGCGGGGGTAAGAAAAAAAAATCGAATATTCGGCTCAAAGATAATTGGATTGAGGAAACTAAAACCTGATATCCATTCAATTAACCAGACAGTTTCGTGACAGTTTCTATCTAATAACTGAATCCCAATTATTCTAGACAAGATGAAAAGATGACAAGGAAACCACAGATTAACACGAGTAAGGGGTTTAGAGGTATGCTCCCCCGGGAAAATTTGACATCTAGAACTTCGAAAACTTCCAGCACTCTAGGAATCAAAGAGTGCTCATAGGCTAAACAGATGGCGTTAGGTACTTTAATAGGCGGCGATAGACCGCCGGTGACTGGCCTTTATTAAAAACCCCAAAAGAATAAGACTAAATTTTTAAAGATTCACACAGAACTCACAACTGTAAAAGCAAAGGACGGTATCTAAAGGATCAACAGAGGGTAAATTATGAACCTCACTCATCGAATTCAGGAAGCGGTTTTGATTTGTCTCGAGGGCGTTTTATTTCACGCTCATAAAAAATGAATGAAATCTTTTTTCATTGAGCAAGAAATTCACACACTCAACACTTCCGACGTCATTCATCTGAGAGATATGTACAACGCTTGTCTTATAGAAACCTACAAGTAGCTTAATACCAGCGAGTTATGTGAAGATCAGTGGTAGAGCCTTGGAACGCGAAATTCTTACAACGGTCTGGGGTTTAAATTCTCGCAAGGGGAACTCCTATTTTATCTCTGCTTCATGCGTGCGACAAGACGAATAACAAATCATTGTCTTTTAAATAATTAACGTTGGCAAAAAAATTGACGTAATTAACAGTCAATTCAATATTATTTCTAGTCAACCACATTCGTCAAGTTTAGGTTTCTTGGCTTGTTGTAGTGTCTCTGTGGTGGGTGTGTCTGGTTCGACTGTTATCCCGGACAGAAGATACCCTCCTGTACCATTCATGTTGATTTCCGGGTGTGTGCGGGCAGGGAGAACCTGGGGAGAGAAATTAAGATAAGTTATTTGGCGGTTCATTAATGTTGATGATAAAACTGCTTTTGACGTCTTTAAATGACAGCTTTTTGTGATGTACAAAATCACAGAATGAAGAAAATGAACACGGATTGCATGTAATAGTCTTGAAAGAATTGGAACTGAATTTAATTTAATTTCTTGAGACACAATCCGTGTCATTAGAGACTGGATCATTGGATAATGCAATTCTAGAGTTTTCGTTAGCTTTGTCATCATGGGTAATGAGCCGTCACATCACGCGCGCGCATGAAGGCGAGTTAAACCAGAAGTGGTTTTGTAAATTGTAACATTCCTTTTTTTCGTACAAAATAAGTTGGGAATATTTATCTTTATTTTGGGGCGTCTCCAATAAATATTAATTCCACTCGCGCTTGTTGCATATGAGATGCTAGATAGCCAACGAGGCCCATAGGGCGCGCTCGTGGAATATTTTTCTAATATTGAAATAATTTTGTGAGAGCATTGTTATTGACACAGTAGCACGTGGAAAATCATTTGAGTGAGGAAGGCAAATGTCACAAATTTAAAGGCTGAATCAAACTTTGGTTATTTGCAAAGGATTGCATTTGTTAATTCCTGTGTGCGCTCGTTATGATCGGATAAAAAAGCATTTTATCCCACTGTGGCTCAGAATAAGTGGACAATAAGCTTCGTATCCCCTGATGCACCCTCGAACTAGGTGAACTACAGTCTTGTTCCGTTGTGACAGATTTTCGCCTATTTTTTTGCAGGAAAGTTCGTTTGCCACAACACACACAAGCTCTCTTACCTGATAATGTCGCCACCATGTTTCAGACAGATGAATATTAATAGCTGTACCTTTCTCCCTCAAATTTACATAACACTCCATCAAAGGCTGAAAATGAACACAGCAAAATTTTTTAAGTGATCACATCGACGCTAGAATAACACCATCTTCTCTTGTTGTGAACAAACTGCCTTAACGAGGAATCTCTAGAAAAGCACCCGAACCTAGAAGTTCCTTTTTCCAATTTGTCCACCTCCGTTCACAATACAAATCCGCTCCCTAATACTTCCCAGATTGTGCACGACTCCGGGAAAAATATCCGCTAGTATAAGGCTGGTGTTAGATAAAGCAAGAACCTTACCTCTTTGTACTGACAATAAACCACAAAGGGTCTGGATGGGGCAAGACGAGGAATGAGAGACATTACAATGGGGCTAGGCTGAAAACGGCTCACGACAACCAAACTAAAAGAATATAGAAATAAAAATTTAAAGTTAAAGAGTTGACCAGGAAAGACTGAGGGGGGAGGGGGTTTGGAAAGGGGAAGGGGGATGCTCAGAATACTCTTCCCTGAGATTCAGGCCCTAACTTTTACATCCCTCACAGCTTGAAAAGGCACCCCACCCAAATGTATA